CAGAAACCTGTTTAGTAAGATCTTTCAGGTCTAGGGAAGTCCGGACCCGTTAGTTGGAGAGCTGGTTTGAGCAATACCTCTAAAGAAAAGGGAAGTGGGAGGGGTTAGCTCATCGGACAACGAAAATATATAGACAAAAAATGCACTGGGCATAACATAAATGATCATACCGATACTCAGATATTTAGGGTTAAAATACAATAAATAATGAAGGGTCTTATTGAAATTAACCAAATAATTCACATGTTGCACATAAAAGTAATGGCACTAATTTACCAAATTTTTTCCACGTAGAATAAACATATTTGTCATTAATTCCCTTCGTTTGTCTGCACAATGAAGCCCAAATGTTATATTGTAGTCTGTTCAGACAGAAATAACATTCTTAGATTACAGCCAACATTGACAGTCTTTCCACAACCCACAAAAAACTTCAAATAAAGGTTCCAAATTCTTAGCATGGGTATAACAAAGACTAAAGTTGACATTATCCAAATCATATTCACTTGATCCCTCAGCAGTTGTCAAGTGTGTGTCAGAAAACATAAACCAGTCTGTTTGTGTGAACACCTAGTCTGTCCAAAATCTTTCAAGACTGTGAAAATCATGTAGTGTCCCTAGTTTAATCAGTGGAATCATAACTTCTGCTTTCTAGCTAAATATCCTGAAGGACAATGTCCAGCCATAAGAGACTTGAAGCTCAAGCACACTTGGGGTATGCAGCAGGAAAATGATTCTAAGCACACCTGGAAGTCCACCAAACCTGGAAGCGGTCTAGTCAAAGTCCAATCTTAAATCTAATTAGTATGGTTTAGTAATTAAACATTGTGAGCTGGCGATCCAGCCCACAACAACAATCCAAGATACCTATATGACCATTTGGGAAAATTATTTGCCCACCCCTGTTCTAGATGATGTTGGGCTGACAGAGCAATAAACACTGTTAAAAGAGATTGATTCTCACACAACATTGTGTATATATACATATTGTATATTCATGATTTAGTTTGAAGCATCTTAGCTGTTTGGAGGTCTCTCTCTTGGTAGCTATTACAACCAGTGCTTGTCATCATACCCCTGTCAAGCTTTTTGACCTGTCACGAGCCTACACTCATTATGCTAGACTATCTAAATATTGATTTATTTCATGGCTGTTGGGAGGAATGGCTGCGTGTTTGAAGTTTTTTTTCCTGAAAGTGCACAAAGTGCCCTCTGCAGAAGACTTGCTCTGAGCCAACACAACTCTGTGGATTTGATTCAGGATTGATAACCTAAAAAAACAAAGCAGCAAAGAGGCATTAACGACAAACCCACCTGGGCTAGGCATGGAGGATAAGCAGGGTAAACAGGATCAGATGAGGAGTAGTTTGACGGGATGTTGAGAATCTAAAAACTTTTTCTAAATTGTTAAATTATGCATTTAGGCTTTGGAGTATTTAAAATTCATTGGGTTCTTCCAGGTTAGTGAGTTTGTACCTCTGTAGAATAAGAAGTGGTGTATTTAATAAACCCAATTTGAAATTCTATCTTCCCTTAAAACAAAATACGCCCTGTCTGTTCACCCTCTCGGCTTTGAACTCGCCTCAGACATTTTCTTAGATTGATTTTGTTTTATTTAGCTGTATTTTCACATGACTCTCCCTATGCTAACCTTCTGAAGTATTAAAGAGATTAAAAATTACTTTGCCAATGTTACTATTGATAGATGCATGAAGAGAAGTTTTCTGGCCTCTCCCTAAATATGTATGGGAGAGAGAGAGTGTTTATAAACGTATTGATCAAATATATCTAAATACAAGAGGTAGACAAGTATCTTAATCAGTCAACCAGAATAGTGTCTAGCAGACAGAAGGAAACAGCGGAGACACTGTTATATTTTGCTCTTAAACCAAGGGGTAATGAGAACAGAATAACACCCTACCCAAATGGAAATGTCACAGATTGAGGTGAAAATCATTTTATCAAATTTTGCCTGTCTGGTGAATTTATTCAGTGTTAGATTTAATAACACCTACTTTACATGCATCTTGAAGAAAGCCCCTGGGAGCCAGCTCACACACTGATTAGCAGCTCTGCTTTGGAGCCATTAAGATCCCCAAGCTGCCTCAACATACAGTTTGAGAGGCCACCCTTATTATTTATTCTGAGCTTATGTTGCAACTATTTCAATTTCACTTAATGTTTAACCATTTCTTAGCATCCTCACGTGTATATTTGAGTTTTATCTTTTGCCTAATGCCTTTATAAAGTGTCTAACACTTACTGTCACCCATAAAAGCATTTCGTTTTCTTTTTTAAAGTACAATGGATATAATTGTGAAACATCATAATAAACATCAATATTTTAAGATGGAAGTCAAGATTTAAATGTTATGGAGTGTTTGTATTTTTTCATTGATAAATATAAAAAAACAAGGTTTAATAATATGTAGTGCCCTGCCAAAGTATTCATAATCCTTCAATTTTTCTGTGTTTTGTCAGGTTTTCAGCCACAAACTTTAATGTGTTTCAATGAGATGTCATATGTAGTGCAAAGTAGTGCATAATTGTAGGATGGAATAAAAATGATATGTGCAAATGTGCATTTTTGACTAATAAAAGTTTTAAAGATGTGGCATGCATTTTTACTCAGCCCCCTTTACTCTGTTACCCCAAAATAAAATATTCCATCCATCATTTAAACATGGAAAGTGTATAGAAGAACTGCAGGCCTACCAAGACATGGCGTCCACCTAAACTGACAAGTCAGGAGAAGCAGCCAAGAGACCTATAGTTCATACCGAGGAGCTGCAGAGATCCACAGCTCAGGTGAAAGAATTTGTTAATGACTAGTCACGCACTCCTCAAACCTGGTCTTTATGGAAGCGGGAGAGAAAAAAGCTATTGTTGAAAGAAAGCTATGAGAAGATTAGCTTAAAGCTCGTCTCAAACCTTGTAGTGGAAAAAGTGGAACAGAAAGAAAAAAGGTGCTCTGGTCAGATGAGACCAAGCTGTAACCTTTTGCTCGGCATTTAAAACAGCATGTGTGATGAAAAACTAACTCTGGACATCATCCTGAACACACCATCCCCACATGCAAAAAATGGTGATGGTAGCCCAAAGCTGGTTGGTTGCTTTTCTTCAGCAGGCCGAGGGAAACTGGTCAGACTTAATGGGAAGATGGAAGGAGCTGTAAGTACAAGGATGTCCTGGTAGAAAATCTGGTGGTGGGTGTAAAAGGCGTAGGTTCACCTTCTAGCAAACCCAAAACATAGTTATTTGTTAGAGTAGCCTTGCCAAAGTCTAGACCTAAAGCAGGCTGAAAATTGCCGGCAAGACTTGAAAGTTGCTGTTCACACACAAACACTCCATCCAAGTTGCTTGAGTTGTTCTGGCTCTTGTAAGTGTAATGCTGGTAAAGACATACGCTAAAAGACCTAAAGCTGTAAATTAAGTCAAAACTGGTTCTAAAAAATACTTGGTCAGTTAAAAAAAGGAGCCATGGTCCTATGTCACTATCATGAGATTGTACAAGATTTTTAAAGATATGTTTTTTGGCACTAGTGGCCTTTATTTTGTATTTTTTGACAGAAGATAGACAGGAAAGGGGTAGAGAGAGGGGGAGACATTCGGTAAATGTCACTGGAGCCAGGACTCGAACCCGGGACAGCCGCCTTAAGGACTATAGCCTCTGCATATGGGCGCGTGCTTCGCCCCTACACCATCAGCGCCACGCTTGTACAACATTTTTATACTTTAAAATATTATCTATAATACAGTACAATACAAAAAAGTAACAAAAGTGTCATGATTTGAGGGTGATTTGGGGTTTTTGTTTGGGTTTTAGTTATTCTTATTTCCAGTTTACGTTTAGGATCTTGTTTCTGTTATTATTTTCCTGGCTGTGCTTTAGTTTCTTTTTATTATTACTATTATTATTTTGTTCTCCCTGCATCTGTCAACCTGCAATCAGCTTCACTCGGTCCACCTGCATCATGTAATCAGTCTTCTCGTTTCACCTGTACCAAGCTCCATAGATACACAATCATTCTGTTTACTCATCGCAGAAACATCACTCCTTCTTGCTAATGTTTGTGCCTGTTTTGTTGCCACCTCCTTTTGTAAGTAATTTGCCTTGCTAAAAATAAACCGTTTTTAATTACAGTACAGATGTCTGCCCGTCTGCATTCTGGTGTCCTCCACCTTACCACACCTGACAAAAATTAACAGTATTTTTTACAGTCAGCTCTGGAAATAACATAATACGTGACATTATGTGACATAAGACACCATTCCTTTCAACAGACATACTGTATCTTTTGGTTGCTAAAACATGTCCTGTGTGCAATAGTGTTGCAGTGGGCACTTTGAACATGCTGTTTCTCTTTCACTGGGATTCAGTGTCTTTAGTATCTCCTCTGAGGCATTAATCAAAATAACTATTGCTGTTAACATGTGGCAGATCTCATTCCATGAATGAAAGCAGTAAAACCAGAGAATCATTTGTGGGTCAAAACATGATTTAAGGTGAGTTGAAATTATTTCATCTTATATAGAGCAGACTTTGCAAAGACATGCGAATTTCAAATTCTACCCAGAACTTTGACCTAAAGGAAGAGAACTCCATCTCAGAGCAGTTTTATGGACACCATCACCTCTCACATAGCAAATTAAATCATGCATGCCAAATTGGAACTGCTGCACTCCATGTTAAATCCTAGGTCTCGGTGAGTGGGCTTCGATGCCCTGTCTCATCGCAGCACAGCAAGATTCTCATGTGTTCTCATGCTGTCATTACAGCTCTGTCAATAGACCGGGAACCCTGTGCTCGGCTAAATGGAACAACCTGCAGCATACTGATCAGAGTCTGTGTAAGAAAGCATGACCCATCAATTAGCAGGGGGTCATCGACTGAGTAGAATCAGGCAGTAAATGGTTTGAAATACAATTGTTTTGGGTCTCAGAGATATTGAGCTGCTGTTGGGAGAAACAATTAATTTCATGGCTCACACGTGTTTACAGTCAGTCAATAACAAAGTTGGTACTTTAGTGGAAAGTATAGGGAACTGTAACACTGTGACAGCTTATGCAGATAGCAAATGTAAAGATACCAAATAGTTGTAAATCCCAAGAATACCACATTTTATTTAACAATAGTCCAATCCAAAATTCTGCTTCCTTACACCAAAAAAAATATATGAATTGACATATGTTGCAAAGAAAGCCACAAATAGCCACTGCTTTCTTGATAATAAACTAAATAAGTATGGCCAACTGTTCCGGGAAAATTTACTGAATATAAATCAGCTTGTTTACAGTTTTCTAAACTCTATAAAAATGTATAATTTATGAGAATTGGTGCTGGATTACACAGATGCTCCACACCGAGTGCCCAGTGAGTGCATTTGTTCCTTTGGCACATATTCTGTTCCTTTGTTTTGCTTTTCCTCATTTTTAATGAGACCAGTGGAATATTACATGTTCCAAATTGGCATTCATGAAATAATAAAAAGGCTTTTGTTTTTGTTGAATGTAGAAAAGTTTGATTTAGGATTCCAGAGTTAGGAATGAAGTTTTTAACATAAAGGATGAAATATGAAGATTTAAAGATCAAGTGTCGAAATTAATCCCAGTGCAGTGTGCTTCATGATATACTGTGTTGATGCACACAATCATAGCGAGTTCAAAGTCTATACAGTCTATACAGTGCAGAGTCAACATGAAAATTTTATCTGATTATATTTTAGCACTAATAAAGAAAAATATATTGTAGCATTTTGCACTTTTAATAGTCTGATGATGTTTCCAACAACCCCAAAAAGCATAGAGTGTTGTTAAAATCTCACAGATAGGAAGAGTAAGAAGAAGTTAGAAGAACAACATCAAAGTGTTGGTTAGGCTTGTCATGTTTAGAATTTGGTCTGGTGTAGCTTATGGATCCTTGAAAATCTGTTATTGCATACAGATAATCTGATTTCACTGCAGGAACCTTTTCCAGGAACCAGGGTTGGTTCTAGGGACATTTTTCTGCCCCAGTCGTTTCCACTGCAGGAACCAGGGCCAAATCAGATTACCAGGGTGGATATAAACTTTAGGAAACAGTCCTGGTATGAAGGTAGTACTTTTTAAACCAGGTATTATGTTTTAGTCATCTCCCAGTTTAAACGTCTTGAAAGTTCATATTTTCCATTAGCTTTGAATTATACTGTACGGTATGAGTAATCTATATTTTTTATTGCAAACACTATATTTGAACCAAGTCATTCATGGTATTACAGGGTATAATTATTAGACATATGTGAATTACTACAACATTCCTCCATAGAGGTGAATTTCAGTGCTACTCCTGTAAAATAATCACAAATTATCCTGAAGAACACCAGGTTGTAATCCATACCACAGCAAAGGGGAATAAACACTGAAGTATGTGTTATTAAAATTATTTTGAATATTGTTACAGGTAAAGTTCGGAGTTACTTTACATCAGTTGTAAAGTGTAATCGCTGTTATAGAATTTTCACTTAGAAATTTAGTTCTGAAAATCACAGCTTTTAATTTCACTACTGGAACTCCTTTGCCACAGTGGAAACGCACACAACATATGCCAGGAAAACAAAAAGTTCTGGTAATATTATGTACTGGGGCAAATAATTCCATTATTTACCCCTCTGTAAATCCTTTTCTTCTTTATTTTCTTACAGGAGATTCTCCAGCTTTAAATCACAGTATTATTACCCAGATTATTGTGACTGTAAAATATCTCATGGGCTCTTTAAAAAACTTTTGTCATGTAATTTAAATACAGATAAACACAGATTTTACGTCTGTTCATTTTCCCCTTGACCAGGCCGTAGCCGAAACACTTCCCTGATTTGAAGGGGTGATCAAAAAAGTATAGTTTAGCCGACTTCAGTGTCAGCTAGTTCTGCATTGTTTATGCGTTCTCAAATATAATGTTTGCAAGATTTCTTTGCCTACAAAACTAAACTGAAAAAACTTGGGGGAAAATCCCTGTTAACATATTGATGTAGAAAAAGACTTTACAGATCAATACTCTTGATTTTTAGCAGGACAAGGATAAGTTCTCCAATAATGAATTATAAAAGATTGATGGATGCAGGGATCCTTCTCAGGTAAATATAAAGAAAAAACCTTTCTAACACTAGTTATGTCTTGCTTCTGAATAATATCATAAACCCTGAGGAAAAACTTGTTCAATAGGGCCATTTAGTGGTTTAGTCACATACAGTAGGAGCACAAAAGCCTTGTTTACCTATTGATAAATATACATAAAAATCAATAGCTATTTGTATTTGTGAGAGTTGCACAGAATGATAAAAAAACAAAACTTATGAGCAACAAGCTTGTTTGTTAAAGAGAAACCTCATCAATAGTGATTTAGACATTTTAAAGCGTTTTCAGGTTCAGAGATCAGAACAGCAATATTCATTTTCATGTCTGAAGCTGAAAGGATTGGGTTTCAAAAATAAAAATAAATCTTTGAAGAGTGAGGCTGAAAAATCTGAGACCCTGAACTCAGGCAATATTACATAACACTAAGGTTGTCAAAGAAGAAAACACTGTTTCCAGCACGATTATTTATAAGAAAAAGATTTATATTGTGGCTCGCCAGTTTTATAGGAGGCAGTGAGGAGAGCAGTAGCTTGCAGTCTGAGAGCTTATCAACAAACTGGCACCTTACCCAGGATTTTAAAAGCTCTCTGTGGCAAGCCTGGCCTGCCTGTAATATGCTACAGTTCTGAATGGCCACTTGTGACAGAAATGTAGTTAAAAAAATAAAATTCTATCAGCATTCAGGTATAGCTTTTAATTAATGCTCCTGTTTTGACCACCAATGTTACTCTGATGCGCATGGATGTCAACTCATCACCAAACAACAGTGTCACTAAAATACTTTATTTTAGCAAGATGAACAATAGGTTTTTACAAAGATAGATGCAGAGAATGGAAGCAGCTTCAAGTCTTCCGTTTCTACACATAATTTGTTCATTTTACTCCAGAGGGTTTAAATTAACTACAGTAACACAATAATTCTAGTCAAACTATAAGCCTGTCACTAGTACGTTTAACGTGTCTAAAAACTATATTGTTTGGCCCCCAAACCACCTCATGCTAATGCTAACATGTGGTGGCTGAGAGAAGTTAAATACTGATTTACATCAAAGACTCTCGTTCATTTGTGAACCGAGCTCTATGCTGCAGTTAATTATCATGGATAATACCATGCATGCAGGATTGATAGGTTAGAGTGAGTGGTTGTTTGTTTACTCAATAATGCAATGCAGCACCAGGTCGGTTCGGATAGATTTATTCCCTAAATAAATCAAATTATTTCAAAAATGCTTTTTAATGCAGCCTCAGGTGGGGCACAATGTCCTGTGTTCTATTTGTGCTGGTCCAATGCCCAGATAAATGGAGAGAGTTGGGTCAGGAAGCACATCCAGTGTAAAACCTTTGCCTCATCTACCATGCGAGTTTTGTAATTATGAATATATTATTTAATATTTAATATTAATACTTTAATATTTTATTAAACAAACACAGAACACACAAACTGGGCACAAGTGATAGCAGATAATCTGCTAGCACTAAGATAGCTGAGTTTCAACACAAACAAAACCCAACGTCATAAACGAAAAATGTTTAGATTATTTCATTCTAAACTACTTATTCTCTGCCCAAACCTAACCTCTTATGTGAACCGTGCTGA